CGCACCGGCACTACCTTGCCGCCGTTCTACATTCTCGTGTACAACGCCGCTCAGGTGCTCGTGCTTTGTGTTCTGTGCAGCTGCCGTGTCAGCAATTCAGTGTACGCAGACAAGCTGCTCGAGCAGTATCCAATCAGCTCCCTCAAATAGTTGCGTTTTGAACATCAATGTTCTGAACGGTGATGTTCTAAACATCGGTATTCTAAACAACACTGTTCTGAACAGCTCCAAATTGATTCCGCCACTCTGATTGGTCAAACTGTGTTCAGGTTAGCACTGTTCGGAACAACACCGTTCTGAACAGCCGCGCGAACCGATTTCGCCACTGTGAATGGTTGAGCTGAAATCGTAAACTTCAAACTGACATTTTGAGCAGAATCAGTTGCCCTTATTGGTCGAAGCAGAAAAGCGCTTTTGAGCCCTTGATTGTGGTAAATCCGCTTCACCGTTTTAGCAGCTACTTGAGAAATGGAATTGCACACTCATCCAGCAAACCAACTGATTGATTCACAAAATATCAATTTTGTATAAATATTGGGATGGTAATATCTTTGATGTACCCTATGATCCTATCAATGAGACCCTCTTTGGTTGCTCAGCGCAGCAGGAACCACTACCCCTCTAGGTGTTATGCAAAGGACGACGCCTCTAGGCACTAGTGGACAGCGGTGCATCTCACTCGGTGTGTGACCGCGGAACGTTGGAGAAAATTGGAGAACCTTCGAAGGAGACCAAGTTCACAGCAACGATGGTGGACGGTACAAAACTTACCATCCATGGCGAAGCATCACTGCAGGGGCGCTGAGGTGGAAACCGGCGTTGCCGATCACGAACATCAAGGGTTTAGATTTCATCTTAGGCGAGATTTCCGGAAGCGGTTCAACCCCGAGATTGACTGGGTCAACAGGAAGGAGTGCATCTACAACAATGAAAAACGAGTGGAGCTGCGAAGCTGGACGGATACATGGAGCATTCCTAAAACAACACTTGCACGGTTCGAACAGACGGTGAACGAGAGTAACACGGGTTACTTAGCACTGGCTATGGCAGCAGCAGAGGAGAAGCTGAACCCAGAGCTACCTGTAGCAGTGAAGGAGGTCTTGGAGCAGTACAAGGATATAATGCCCGACGACCTACCTGTAGGCGTACCTCCAGCACACACCCACAAGCACGAGATCATGGAGGAACCAGTTGCGAAACCCGTCTCACGTACACCATATCAACTGAGTCCGACCGAACTGACAGACATGAAAAAACAGATCGAGTATTATCTGGACAGACAACTGATCCGCCCATTCACCTCTCCTTACGGTGCACCCATTCTCTTCACTCCAAAATCAGACGGCAGTTTACGGATGTGCATCGACTACCACGCACTGAACAAACAAACAATCAAGAATAAATATCTCATGCTGCTCATAGTCAATCTTCTAGACCAACTGCGTGGTGCAACAGTCTTTTTGAAGCTGGACCTACGGTCGGGTTACTGGCAGATCAAGATGGCAGACAACTCGGTCCACAAGACGATGTTTCGTACCACATACGGCTCCTACGAATACTTGGTGATGCGGCAGAGATGAATCATATCCTATGGCCCCTGTTGCAAGAATGCGTGGTGGTGTGCCTGGACGACATTCTCATCTACTCCAAGAACATGAAGGAGCACGTGGAGCATCTGTGGAAGGTGTTCGAGATGCTGCGGAAAAACAAGTTCTACGTGAAGCTATCGAAGAGCGACTTCGCCCTGAAGAAGGTGCAGTTCCTCGAACACATGGTGAATGTCGAGGGCGTACACGTGGAACCGCGGAAGATCGAAGCCGTCAAGAAGTGGAAAGTACCAGAGAACGTAAAGGAGTTGCAATAGTTCCTAGGCTTCGCCAAAAGGTTCATGCCGCATTACGCTGAGATAGTAGCGCCACTAACGGACCTAATAAAAAAGGATACGCCCTACAAATGGGATACTCCTCATCAGCAAGCCATGGAGCAGCTACAGACAGCGCTAACTACAGCGCCAGTTCTCATCCTACCGGACTCATACAAGGACTACGTGGTGGAAGCAGACGCTAGCGACCAAGCAGTCGGAGCAGTACTGATGCAGGATCACGGACGCGGATTGCAGCCCATCGCCTACCTCAGTAAGAAGCTACACGGAGCAGAACTGAACTACCCCATCCATAACAAGGAGGCCTTAGCAATAGTTATAGCCTTCAGATGTGGAGGTGTTACCTAGAGAGAGCCAAGACTACAATCTATACTGACCACTGCAATCTCAAATACCAGAAGTCGCAACCGACGCTCTCACGACGACAGGTGGGGTGGGTGGACTTCCTAGAAACTCACTTCCACTACGACATCGTCCACAAACCCGGGCTACACAACAAGGCAAACGCGTTGAGCCGCCCCGGTCATGTCGTAGGCATCCAGCTCGATGGGATGAACCCTCTGCTCAAGAGTGTACTCCAACGTGGATACTCCGTGGATGCAGAGATCGCTACAGCACAAACTAAGAAGCTTTTACAGTGGGAGAAAGGCTTAGCTGTAAAGAAGGGCACATGAAAGATTTGGGTACGGAACTATGCCCCGCACCAACAGATTCTACTGGAAGAGTTTCACGACGTACCATACGCGGGACATTTCCGGAGCAACAAGACGTTAGCAGGGATAGCGAAGTATTGTTACTGGCCCGGGGTGGCAGCAAATGTGCAGCAGTTCGTCACCTCATGCGACACATGCCAGCGGATGAAGAGTAGCAAGCAAAAAAAAGCAGGGTTACTTCAGCCTCTACCCGTACCGGAGCAGCCATGGCAAGTCGTTAGCCTCGACTTCATCACGGGACTTCCTTCGACCTTACGAGGGCATGACGCTATACTTGTGGTGATCGACAAGTTCTCCAAAATGGTTCACTTCATCCCGACCAATGCCACGGCTACAGCTGAAGCAACTGCTCGCCTCTTCTTTGACCGCATCATCACCATACACGACATCCCCGCTACCCTCATCTCAGATAGAGACCCAAAATTCACGAGTAAGTACTGGAAGGAGCTCATGGGACTGTTGGGGACAAAACTTGCGATGTCTTCAGCATACCACCCCCAGACTGACGGGAAGACAGAGCGACTCAATTAGATGGTTGAACAGCCGCTGGGATACACAGTTACCGACCCTAGAGTTTGCTTACAACAGTGCGTCACATGCGGCCACAGGGAATTATCCTTTCTTTCTGTGCTACAGACAGGAACCACTTACACCACAACATCCAACCATACCGGCACACGTCCAAACTGCACACGACTTCGTCACCACCATGCAGCAGCAATGGGAGAAGACTCAGCGACGTCTCACCACGATGTAGAACTCCCAGAAGCAGTATGCCGATCGCCAGCGTCGTGATCACACGATAGTAGTTGGAATTCAAGTGCTCTTCGACACACGCAACTTGAACCTGTCTCACCTACCATCCAAACTCCGGCCTCGCTTCTGTGGTTCTTTTCACGTTGAGGCACAAGTGACACTAGTAACATTCAGCTTGCGCTTACCTACTACGTGGAAGCTTCACACCGCTTTCCATGTTCAGCTACTGAAGCCCTACAAGGACCCCAACAAACAGTTCCAAGGACGGCAGCTACCGCCACCACAACCTGTTCTCATACACGATGAACTAGAGTACGAGATCGAGCAAGATCTCACTCATCGGCGCCGCGGCGGCAAGACCCTCGAGTTCCTGATACGCCGGAAGGGATACGACCCCATTGAAGACAGTTAGGTTGCAGAAGCTAATATGGGCAATGCACGCCATGCTCTCAAAGACTATCTTGTCAAGCAGGGTGTATCTCACGCCACCCACCTTTGAGGGGGGGAACGTGTGAGAGTACGACGGCTTATGCTGGACTCGCTAGCTTGCCTCGACTTTATTATGCTATATCTAGCTTGGGTTTTAATTATCATGCATAGACATGCTTGATTTCCTAGGTTAGGTGCATTCCTATATTTTATTATAATTATAGCACTGAACCAGGTTACGTAAAACCGAACTCAAGTCTATTCGGTTTCCACCAAATAGTTTTCTACCGAGTTCGGGAAGGTTCTGTTCGGGACGCTTCGCGACCCTTAGAACATTCGTGTAACACCTGCGTTACTTGCCTTGTGTCGAGCTTATATATAGCCTCGTGTTGTACCCAGGTGGATCATTCAATTTAAACCCACTTTTCCGAGCTCGATCCTAGATCCTCACATAGATGGTGGTGCCAAATGTCACCGAATATGCACGGTCATGCATATAAGGTGCCAGTTTTGCTGCAGTGTAGTTCTGAGTGTAGTATTACTGTATGTGAACATTTGGGGTGTAGGTAGTTGGGGACTAGGGAGAGTGTCGCAAAGTTGGTAGGAGAGCTCCGAGGAGTGCAATCCAAGGAACCAATGTGAATGCACCAATCCAGGCTCGAGGCGCACATTGAGAAATGCACGCTTCGAGCCTGGCCAGGTAAATTCACTCTCACACACACACTCGTTGCTTTCCGCTTGTTATCCTTTCGTATAGTGGAACATTGTTACCTTAATCTTGCAGCTAGGTGACACACCACTCAAGGAGGACCCTTGGGGTGGGAGCTTCGTCTCTTTCATAACAAGCGGAAAGGGTGCGCGCGTGCAAGGATGGACGGTTTTGAGCTGCGTTATGGCAGGACCTGTGGTCGTCGCGAGAAGAATCACTTGAGGCGCGGATACTTGCGCGAGTGTGGGCGATTGCTGGAGAGGTCGCCGCAGAGGCCAGATCGATCGCCGCAAAGGCCTGCCTTTCGTGCGGATCAGGTGCCTCTCGGGCCTGAGCGCCGAGAGGGAGGATCTGCTTGAGAAGGAGCAGGCATATCGGAGTCGGTCATGGAGGGGAGTGATCCATGGCGGACGGAAGCGCACCATGGAGCAAGTGGTGATCTTTGGTATCGCCAAAATACGGGAGCGTATTGCTCGCCAGAAGCAAGCTATCGTCGTCGCAAAGATTGGAGTCACGGGCGAGGCTTGGAGGGACTGTTTTCGGGCCAAGAGGGACACCTCAACGTCGGCGAAGAAGGAGAGGACGACGCGGCGGATACCTCGCAGGAATCCGAGCGCGACAACGTGGTAGAGGACGGCGACGAAGTCCGGAAGGAGGACGCAGGCGAGCAGCGCAACATGCCCGCGGAAGCAACGGAGGCAGACCCTGCGGCATGCGAGGCGGAAAAGTTAGGCGAAGGGGAGACGGGCGGAACTGGTGGCGTACGAAGCACGTGAAGTTAAGCGCACGTTTCTGGGCAGAAGGCGTACGGCGGGGAGCAGGGCGGAGACGCGCAGCACTCGCAAGATCCATGTCAGCAGCATGACGGAAAGCGGGGAACTGGTCCACGCGCGCGCCAGATTTGCACCGCATCGTGACGAGAGGCGAGGAGCCGGGTCGCGTTCCCCTAATCTGCGTCAGCATCGTGACGGGAGGCAAGGGGGCGGGTCGCGTTTGCCTGATCCGCGTCAGCATTGAACGGGAGGCGGGGAGGCGGGTCGCGTTCGCCTGATCCACGTCAGCATTGTAACGGGAGGCGGGGAGGCGGGTCGCGCTCGCCGGATCCACGTCAGCATCGGGGCGAAAAGCGGGGAAGCGGGTCGCGCTCGCCGGATCCGTGGAGATATCGCAGCGGGAGGCGGGGAGGCGGGTCGCGCTTGCCTCAGCAGCATCACGGAGCGTGGGGAAGCAGGCCGTACTTGCCGGATCTGCACCAGCGTCGTGAGGGAAGGCGTGGAGGCGAGTCTCGTTCGCCAGGTCGGTACCAAGAACGGGGTATGAGCTGGGGTAGCGAATATTGCTCGCTGGATCCGTATCCACAGCGTGACGAGAGGCATGGAGGCAGGCTGCGCTCACCAGAACGTGATATGCAGCGAAGACAGGGAGGGAGATGGGAAGAGGAGGGGCGCCAGCGGGACTATCGTCGCGAGCAGGAAGGAAGGAGAGATCTACGATCCCCGACACCTGAGCCGCGCTGGCAGCACCGAGGGCAAGGGGAAGAATGGGCGCGTGCGTGTCACTCACCAGATCGGCGAGGAAAGATGGGTGGGGAGGAAAGGCGATGGGAAGCAAGGCAGGATCAGCAGAGAAGCAAGGGTGTGGGCAGCGGTCTGGCAAATAGCATGGAGCGCGCCAGAGGAGCAAGAAAGGGAATTGAGCTAGCTAGAGGAGGGGGAACGTCAGCAAGGCAGGAAAAGGGGCCAAACGAGTCATGGGGCGAGGGTCGTGGAAGTGCAGCGATGGTTGCATGGGTGGAAGTGCCGGCGCGGTCCTCAGGAGACCAGCGCGTGGGGCCAACACTGAAGAATTACTTGATGCAAGTGGGGAACGCGAGATACAGGTGCAAGAGAAGTGGCATGGATGCAGTAGACTTCTTCCTGAGTTTGCCAAACACACTGGAAGGGGAGGCAGAGACACTGTACAGAATGAGGACGAATGAGCTGCTAGAGAAGGCGGGCCGGTACAGGGAAGACCCCACGGAGGCATTTCTGAAGCGGCTGCAGCGGCAGTTTCCTGGCCATACCGCAGAGAAGATAAGAGAATTTCAGGACTTCAGGAAGGGGAGGAGTGAGTCCTTACTCACCTATTACAATCGGCTGATTAACTTGGCAGAGGACTTGACTTGTGAGGACATGGGTCTCCTAGTTAGTAAATTCTTGGATGGGTTGGACAGCTCCATGGGAAATGGGTTGCGCATAAAGGTGTATGAATTGGGGGCGGACACGACGCTGGATGAGGTCTTTGAGTTGGCAGAGAAGATGGAGCTCGCGCAGAGAAAATACGAAGCATACAGGCCCAGGGCTATGGAGAGAAGCCGGGGGCCAACCTGGGCAGCAGCGATCATACCTGAAGAGAGGGACAGGGCAGCGGGGCGAGGAGAGGGCAGGCCAGAAACTCGGACATGCCACCGATGCGGACAGCCGGGACACCTTCGCAGGGACTGCAAGAACTGTGACTGTTGCAGGAAGCCTTGGCACCGGCGGCGGGAATGCCCTGAAGCGCGAAGTGTGAGGTCTGTGGCAAGGGAGGACTCGTGGCAAAGGACTGCTACCAGAAGGATGGAGAGGCGAAGAGGAAGCTGTACGAACAGGAGAAGCAGATTAGTCGGCTACAGGCTCAGTTACAGGCATTAGGACCGCGACGAGAAGCTGAAGCGGGAATGTATGCCAGGGACGAGGAGGAAGAGGATGTAGAACAAGAGGAGCGAGCTGCACTAATGGCTTGGGGAGGAAGGGAAGATGACAGAGAAGAGGAAGAAGAGGATGTGGAACGGGAGGGGCAACCAGCTTTCATGGCGTGGAGGGGAAGAGAAGAGATGGGGCTGCGAAGCAGAGGGAAGGATACTAGAAGAGAACATGTGAAGAAGGAACGGGAAAAGGGGCAGAAGCCAGAGGAGGAGGAGAAGTGTACAGCTGCACGTCACCCGCAGGAGAGATTGGCATGTCAGACCTCAGTCCTGCTGATACAGAATGGAGCACTGACCGTGGAAGGGGAGAAGGCAAAGACAACCATTATAGACACAGGGGCAAAAAGCGTCATACTGGGGAAAAGGATGGCTGAGAAACTGGGTTTGTGGGCGCCGGACAGACACTTAGTGAAGGGGATGTTGGTGATGACATCAGAGGGGGGAGAATCGAAGTGGATGCCGTGCACCAGAACTCCAATAGAGCTGACGGTACTGCAAGGGGAAAAACACGAGACACAAAGTCAGAATCAGGTGCGGAATTCGAAGTCAGAGGATTTCGACGTGTTGGTGGGCACGGAGATGATATTCGCATTGGGCATGACGATATGCTTTTGGAAGGAGAGTGAGGAATTCAGAACCAGGTGGTGGAGAAAGGGGGAGCTGCTAGGCCAGCAGCCGGTGCAATTCGTGAAAACTGAGCCAAAGAGGGCCTACCGCGCGGATCAGAAGGAAATGACAGCAAAGCAGGGGGCACAAGAGAGTGCGGCTGGCAAGGGAGAGGAAGTGGACCAGTGGATGAGCTTCATGAACAAGTCGTGCCAACAGACAGACTGGCAACAGCCCATCCGACTGGTGGAGCTGTTTGGGGGAATAGGGGCGGGGTTGGCAGTAGTGGTGAGAACAGGATAGCTGTGAAGTAGTGGATATACGTGGAGTAGGCACCAGAGGTGAAGAAAATGGCAGAGCATCATGCTTGGAAGCTGCAGGAGGAATTTCCAGAGCTGCTGAAAAAGGAAGTGATCAGGGCGGCAATGAGCAGAGGCGTACATGACGTGAGGGCAATAACGGAAGTCGAGGTAGCAAGCTGGGGGCATGTGGATCTGTTAGTGGCAGGGTGGGAGTGTCAAGGTGTGTCATGGGCTGGAAAGGGGAAGGGTGACCAGGACCACAAGACCAAACTGATGGAAGACTTGTTCAGGATCATGGAATGGCTACAGGATAGGTAGGGCCGGCTGGCGTACCTGCTAGAACACCTGGATATGGAAGGAGATGTTCAGGAACCTGTGAGGAGGGTGAGAGAGAGGGTGAGGAGACAAGTGGGCAAAGGAGTTAGCAGTGACGCGATGCGGATAGGAGCATTTGCCCACCGACTCAGGATGGGCGAATATGAAGGACATGAAGTTTATCTGAAGAGAGCAAAGCAGGACAATCTGGATGTGGGATTGGGGACAGTGCATTGGAGAGTCAAGGAGGTGCACCCTTCAGGAGTGCTGGTACTGGAAAATGAGAAGGAGGTGCAGTTGAAGGAACACCAGACAAACACAGCTGTGATAAGGGGGACCGGGCCTCTGCGTACTGGTCCTGTGACCCGCGCTCAAGCTGCTCAAGCACGGGCACAGGAGGGGGCAGGGAGTAGCTGAGGCAGCACAAGAAGCCAAAGAGAGGAAGAGCATTAGAATGAAGGACAGATGGCAGGCACAGCTGTTTCTCCGACGGCTGTCACCGAATATGCACGGTCGTGCATATAAGGTGCCAGTTTTGTTGCGGTGTAGTTCTCAGTGTAGTATTACTGTATGTGAACATTTGGGATGTAGGTAGTTGGGGACCAGGGAGAGTGTCGCGAAGTTGGTAGGAGAGCTCCGAGGAGTGCAATCCAAGGAACCAATGTGAATGCACCAACCCAGGCTCGAGGCGCCATTGAGAAATGCACGCTTCGAGCCTGGGACAGGTAAATTCACTCTCACACACACAGTCGTTGCTTTCCGCTTGTTATCCTTTCGTATAGTGGAACATTGTTACCCATGGTGCATGTGATCATCTTGTGCGATAGCATGCACCATGCAGAAGTGGCATGCCAATTCCAGACTACAACACAGCCCCAGCTGCATCTTAGTACCCTCTCTCCTGCTTTCATTAATTCCGCCTCGAAACCCGTTTGCTCATCTTCTCGCGCATGTCCCAACTACTCATGCCCCCCTGCTGTGATAAACCCTGAAATTTGCAGGTCATGGTGTTTGTCTTTGCTGGCCTGCTTCGCCAGCCCCAGATGGATGCTTTTCATGCCTATCTTGGCTGGTACCTCTTGTGTTGCCAGCCAACGGGGCACACTGAGCGGTCCCTGTGGGATCTCAAGAAGAAGACCTCCCGGTACTATTGACATGCATGTACAACCCTGGGCATTGCATGAATGCCTAGCCACGGCACCTAAGCTGTTGCAGTAACCTATCTTCACAGGATGTTGCTGAGAAACCATGATAGTATATCAAATAAAGTAGGCTGCAGTATGCTGTAGCAGACTCTGATGTCCTTGCATATGCTGTCAACTCCCACTCCCATCAGGCTGGTTGAGCAGTTGCAGGCTGCTTTTCCAAAGTAGCCATCCTCTTGATGCCTTGTGAAAACCCATCTCATGTCGCACTACATTGACTCCATTCGCCGGGCGGGTCATGTCACGGAATTCAGCACCAACATGTTCGAGCACTTGCATGGACCGTTGGTAAAGAGGATCTACCGGCGGTCCAACAAGCGCAATGTAGATGGTCAGATTATGAAGTTCCATGCTAGGCGCATTCCAGACGTTGTGTCGGTGGACGATCCTGCTGGCCGGGACACTGCCATGTGGCAGGTACACCTGTCTAGTGATTGAATTGCAATGCTATGCATGTATATTGTAATAAACGTGCTACTGTTTGTTGGCCGGCCATTGAGACAGGCACACGGACTCTTATCAAAGAGTCCTACTTTCTCCCTCTGGAGTTACCAGAAGAACCCACCTCCACCAACTGGTTTGCAAGGAAGTGGGCCAAGTAACACCCAGTTGCACAAGCTGCCCTCAAGGATGCGCTAATACGTTATGCTGGATGCGTCCCCAAGATCAGAGTAAGTACTTCGTGGATCATACAATCATTTTTTTCTTGCCCCTATTCCAATTGCTTACAAACTGCCATTGTTATGCAGGCCCATGCATCGTTGGCCATCCCAGCGGCAGATGATGCCAGCTTCTCAAGAGTTTCTCACTTCGTTCGGGCGACGCCTGACTATTTTGAGCGGCCGTGGTACTCGGATGTTGCAGTAGAGGGTGTAAGGTACGGTCGGAGAGAAGAGTGACATGCAAGGTTGCTGCTGCTGTTCCACACAAAAATCCGTGGAGAGAGGGAGGATCTGGCTTACATTAGATATTGGAATGCGTGCGAGGAGGATGCTGCAACTAGATGCAGTCGCCTCAAGTGGACGACTGGAGTGTATGCGTACTCCGTGATTTCGCTTGAAGCGCTTCTTCGCCACGTCCATGTGGTGAAGGCGTTCCATCTGGACAATACCTATCTTTTAAATAAGTATCATATGTAATGCACTGTCAAGCTTAATTGAAGTCATAGCTAACTAAATTTGTTCCAAAATGACAACTATTTTGGCAACACACAAAAAACCGACAATGTACGACATCCCGAAATTGATTTTCAACTACAACAAACAAACGTGGTCCGATTTCGCTCCGTGATTGGTCGCGATTTCGCTTCGAAGCTTTGCCAACCAAAACACCTGAAATGTACACCCCTTCGAACCCCCTTCAAAAACCCAGGTTTTTTGTGATGGGCAGGCATTTACCTCATGATTCACAAAGCCTACTAATTGTTCTACTTGGGGGAATGCATTGCAATACATGCAATAACAAGCATGGATATATAATGATAGGCAATCATGGTGTCATGACAATCATGGCAAGATGGGTGACCTAACAACAAGGCGCAGTGGCACAGAATGGCCATGCTGGTCAGTCCATGTGAATTTTCCAAACCTAAATGACTCTAACGGCAAGAACCTTACAATTGAGACCCTAAACACCCTTGATTTTCCGGGGCGAATGGTCATCTTCTTCGGCCAAACTCTCACGATAAAGCCCGGTGGAGGGACCACCTTCGCGCTATAAGTAGATTTCAGGTTGTAGACGTTTTTCACACACCGGTACACTACAATAACGCTGTGTAGTCGAGTTACAGCTATCAAGGCACGGTTGAGGTTCCAGGGGAAAACTGGATGTGCCTTTCCCATGCGCCGAAATCGCTTCTTCGTTCTTATCGGGTCCCTCATCATGAGGAAATTAACAAAGTGCTTGTGAGCGGCATGAAACGTGAGCCCAGGGTCCAAGACACGCGTGGGATCCACGTGCCCTCCTCCATAGTCCCACACGGCCGCTTTCGTTCCATCTGCCCGTTGAATCGGCTGCCCATTCTTATTCCTTGTGTATGCCGTAGAAGTTATCGCAGAAATCACCTGCGAGGGGGACCAATTCGGTTTGCTTTGCAAAATCAGCGCCATGATCCCTGCCAAATGCGGCGTCGACATAGAAAAAGGGGAAGGGAGAGGAAAACGGGATGGGGAAAGAGGGAAGAGGAAAGAAGGAAAGAAAAAGGGGGAAGTGGGAAGATGTGGGGAGGGGAGGGGGAAGGGGGGAAAGGATTTGCAGAGCAGTAGTGGTTTAGCGGGGAGCGCGGGGTGGGAAGAAAACAAGGAAGCGATGAGGAAAGAGAGGGGAGAAGAGAAGAGGGAATTAAAGAGGGCAGAGTGGAGAGACAAGAGAGAAGAGAGGAGGAATTGGAGGAGAGAAGAGTGGAGGAAAGAGAGGAGAGAAGAGAGGAGAGAAGACTTGGAGAAGAGCAAAAGGCAAGTGAGGAGAGAGAGAGAGGAGGAAGGAGCAAAGGGAAGAGATGAGGGATAAGAGGATAGGCAAGAGGAGGAATGAGAGGATGGAATAGAGGAGGAAGACTGGAGGAGAGGGAAGGAGGGGAGGAGGGTGGGGTGGGTTCGGGGATGGGAGTTGTGGGGGAGGACTATCCAAGGAGGCGTGTGGTGGATGCATATAGGGGAAAATTCTGGAAAGTGCATACATTGTAGACATAATTGGCTAACCTCTGTGAGACTCTGAGAGCGAAGAAAGAAAGAAGGCACGGGTCTAAGTTAATCTTACCTGCTTGTAGTATTGATATATCTCTGGACAGCCACCCCCTGTGAGTATTTCAAGAAGATGCTGGGGGTATTCGAGAAGGGCATGTAATGCTGCATATCAAATTCTTTTGAATGGCTTATAACGAGTGTAGCCGCTTGTCCTTGTGGGTCTGCCTTTTCGATCATCCAGGTGAGATCATCTGCGTACTGGTGCTCGCCCAGGGTGGACACAAGGAACTTGTCCGCGAATTTAGTTCTGTTCATCATGCTATCGCACCAAGCGACCCCCTGGTGGAGGGAAGGGAGGCAGAGAAGGAAATATAGACTCTTGAGGGCCTTTTCAAATCCTACATAATGTTTGAGAGTCAAACCTAATTGCGAAGGAGAATCAGCCAAAGGTGGGCTTCAAAAGAGATCACCACAACACCCACTGATGCAGTTTCAACCAGCCAGCCATACGGGCTGGATACCCCTCTCTCCCGTCAACTTTTGAGAATTCTCAAGAATCGCTCACAGGTACATAGCTGAACCTCCCTCGGCCCTTGTCTCCTTCAGTATTACCTGGGCCATTTCCCCTTGGAAGGATACGATGGAGTGAGACATGTGGACTAAGCAAAGGCACGCCCCGAAGCCCTTTTCACTAGCAAGGGCACGTCCCACTAGTGCCTTGCTTCACTAGTGAAAAAGGTTTTGAAGACCTTTGGGGCAAAGACAAAGGCACGCCCCAAAGGACTTCAAAACCTTTTTCATTAGCACTACACCCCCCAAAAAGATGCAGCAACATGAGCAACGTCGACTGGGCAAAGCAAGGCCTAAACCCCAGACACACACCATTGACACTTCGCGTATGAGGGGCAGATCTGACGCCGTGGCAGCGGTGCCGCCAAGACTGCGCCCTATGAAAGTGGTTCCATCGCCCAGGGTGAGCACCGCCTTGTATTCCCGCCCCATGGTGCTGAGGTGGGGAGGAGTGGGGGTTGTAGGGGTTGGGAGGGGTGGAGGGGTATGGCTTATTAATCAACTCGATAATCACCTGCCGTGGCATCACCCAGGGTGAGCACGGCCTTGTGATCCCACCCCATGGTGCTGTAGGGGGGAGTAGTGTTGAAGCGGAAAGAGAGTTGGGGGGTAGGAAGACAAAGACCAGGGGAGAGAGTGTAGTGGCTTCATTCAATCTTCAGACCATGCTCTGTGAAGGTGGTTCCATCGCCCAAGGTTAGCACAACCCTGTTATCCCTCCAGCCCCGTGGAGGCTGTGGGTGTCAAGAAGAGTCGACAAAAAGTCACCTTGCTTGGCATTTCTCCCTGCCATACTCACGTTCCGTGAAATCCCTTACCCCAACTCCCTATCGCCCCCCCCCCCTCCCACCCCCACTCTAGCCGTACCTTGCTCCCACTGTGAGGTAGAAGGGAGCGGGACTAGAAATAGTGCCAAACAAGCTCATGCTGCTGGGCCGACCGTAGTTGCCGGCGGCAAAGGCTGTGACCACCCCAGCCTGAAGTTGGACAGGTGGGAACCAGAGGGTGAGAACAGGAGGTTGGGAAAGTGAGAACAGGAAGGCGAGATTGGGAGGGTGAGAATGGAAGGGCGAGAGTTCGAGGGTGAGAATGGGAAGGTAAGAATGGAAATGGGAATGGGAGGCTGAGAATGAGAGGGTAAGAATAGGAGTGTGTGAATAAGAGGGTGAGAATGGGAGGCAAGAGGTTGTAGCATAGGCCAAGATCATGAGATTTGGCAGCCTGGCAAATTGGGAAGCATGAGAGCATCGCAAATTGAGAACGAGAGTTGTCAGCCTGGCAGAGTGGAAGGCGTAAGGGGATTGCTAAGGCCTGCTGCTCTTGGCCTTTCCCTCGTTGCCTGCTGAAAAGCATGCGGTGTCTGCTATGCAGCCCTGGATTTCCCACCTTAAGCCATTGCAAGCAGGCTGAGAAGGCTTCCAGGTCTACAATGTAACCCTAGATTCCCACCTTGAGTCCTCGTAGGAAGGGAAGATCTTGAAAGTACATAGGAGGAAGGACCCCCCATGAGCAAGATATTATGTCAACCCCATCAGCTACTGCAGTCTCCGTAGCAGCAACAAGGTCAGAAAACGCCCCTACCCCTCCGTCCATCACAGTGGTCCACAGTGCCTTGTATACTGCCAGCCTGGCTCGCGGAGCCATGCCCGAAGCTGTGCCGTAGGTTCGGCCACGTACTGTCACCTCCACCCCTGTGTTTCCAGCAGCCGCTCTAAAGAGGAAGGGAGGAGGGGAGGGGAGGGGAGTAGGAGAGGCATTTGGATGACACTCATGCCATGGTTGTATCATGGCATTTGGACGTCCACACCTGCATTCCCAGCAGCCGCTCTAATGGAGAAGGGGGAGGGGAAAGGAGTAGGTGTGAGATTTGGTTGGACGACACGTGTGGCTGCTGCACATGGCTGCTGCACACAGCTGATCCACTCGCCTTGGACACCTCATACTATGTTTAAGCATGTCCAACCAGCATGTCCACCATACATGTTCTGCATAGCCCACATATCCCACCATGTCCTTCATTTCCCGCATGACCCACACATCCCAGCATGACCCACATATCCCAGCATGACCCACATATCCCAGCATGACCCACATCTCCCAGCATGACCCACATATCCCAGCATGTCCCACACATCCCAGCATGACCCATATATCCCAACATGTCTACAAGAGGAGATGTGCCCTTCAGAGATTCTGAAACATCTCAGATCAACTTTACAACCACGACACTCACCCCGCACACCACGTGCCATGCTGCGTGATGTCCCGTGGTGACCGGTAATCATATTTGGTATTCAAATTGCCATCCACTTGCTCTAGACCTTTCAGGAAAAACCTCGCCCCAACCACCTTGCCGTTGCACGCTGTGAAGTCGTCCGTTGTGCTGCACACGCCTCTCCAGCGCACAGGGATAGCAGAGTAAGGCACTCCGTTTTTGTCCTGGACGAAGAGGAGGGGAGGGGGCGTCAAGGAGGAGAGGAGGGGGTGTCAGGGAGGGGAGGAGGAGAAGTCGTGTGTTTGGTGCACACACGGCTCTCCAGCGCACAAGGGCAGCAGAGTAATGAGCTGCATTTGGGTCCTGGCAGGTGGTGGAGAGTAAGAGGGCGACAAAAAAGAAGAAACAAAAAAAAAAGGGGGGGGGGGGGGGGGCGAAAGAAGTGAGGGCATGGAGGTTTGAGTAGATTGGTGGGATGGCCACATCGTTTGGTGCACACGCCTCTCCAATCCTATGAGGCCGCAGAGTAAGCCACTCCATTTGAGAGAGGGGTGGCTCAAAAGAAGAGAGAGGCACGTTGTAGATGTGGGGGACTGTGAGGGGAGGGAATGAGGACGGGGGAGGACACAGGTGAGTTTTGAGGCGTCTATAGGGAGGCATGTTGTAGGGAGGATGCGGGGCACTGAGAGGGGAGCGAATGAGGACGAGGGAGTACACACAAACGATTGGAGAAGAGTATAACCACTTGAGTTGGAATGATTGACTGGCAACCAACGAAGTGCAAACCCAAGATGGCCAGTTTTGTTTACCGAAACAGGGATGTTTGGGCTTCAAGGGTTGGATAAGGAGGGATGTTAGGGCTTAAAGGGTTGGAGAAGGAGGGACGTTAGGGCTTACAGGGTTGGAGAAGGAGGGGTGTTCGGGCCAGATCCCTGTGTCGATCACTCCGATGATCACTCCCTCTCATGCGTTGCTCTGCCCGCCATTCGCCGGCCACAGGCTCGAGTCGAGCTTGAGGAACTGGGGGGAGTGCACCGAGGTCACTCGCACTGTGCGGTCTCTCTCCACGTCTGCCACTGCTGGGTGCAATTTGAGTCGCCTCACCTCTGCAGCGGTGAGCTGCGCTGCAAAGCTGTTCATCAGATAGGTGTAGCTGAGGGATGGAAAGGGGGGGGGGGGGGGGGGGGAGGGGGAGGTGGAAGAGGGGGAGGGTGGACGGGAGGCAGGTGGTCCGAGGGGGTGATTGAGGCATAACCAACGGAGGTTACCCGCACTACTGGCGGGTGCCTCTTGAGTCGCCTTGCCTCAGCAACCTCCCTCGGGCATGACTTCCCCAAGTGCAGACGTCAGACACAGCATGCCTTTGTAGGTGAGTTGTAAAGACAAATCTGCTCAACACGTATGGGTAGAATGCACGTTGGGCCGCACTGAAATATCTGATGTTCGGGCGTGTAACATTCCAGCTAATGAGGTGGCTTGAGATTGGCCCACTTATGAACCCCCACCTGTGGGAAAGGGACAAGGCCATAACCATAGGAAGCTTCTGAGCGGGCCAAAGTACCCCCTTCCACTCATGACTCATCCTACCTTTCCCCCTCCCTCCCCAACTCACCTGTGGAAAACGGCCTTAGGCTAGAGCCTTGAGAAACGTTGGGTGGACCAAGATACTGCCTCCCACCTCTAAAATCCGAATAGCCCCACCCCCCCCCCCCAACCCACCCACACCACCCCTCTTCCCCCCTATCCCCCTTCCCCACCTGTGGAAAATGGCTGAGGATGGGATCTTAAGGGACTGCAGCAGGCTGCAATGAGAAGCTTCCAGGAAGCGTGTGAAGTCCTGGACGTGTGGTAACCGCACGTCGGGTCGTGTGAGTCGGCCCCACGGCGTTGAGCACATGATGCGTGCCGCACGTGCACTCAGCTGCTGCACCGTCAGCACTGCTGACGTGGCTCCACTTGCCATCGGTGCCTTCTCTCCGACTGGCGCAGCTTCTGCTGATGATGATGCTGATGCTGAGCTGGCACCACCCTCTCGGGGTGCTGCTGATGATGATGCAGATGACGGAGTGATAGGAACGCTACTGACAGCAGCAGAAACAATGGACGGGTAAAAGGATGAGTTTTGGAATGGCTGTGTGACAGCAGCAGCAGCAACACCTGCACCACCACCAGCTGCTGCTGCTGCTTCCTCTGCTGCTTCCTCTGTTGCTGCGGCCACTACAGCAGCAGCAACGCAGGCCAGCAGGCGCCGCCCAACAGACCGCGATTTCATCTTTGAGTCAAAGAGTCAAAGAGTCAAAGACCGCCTCTTTGACTCTTTTAGCGCGGTCAAAGAGTCAAAGAGTCAACTAACCCGCCTCTTTGACTCTCTTAGCGCGGTCAGGGACCTCCTTCTCGCCCATGACCCCACAGACCTCACTGTCGACCTGCTCGAGAAGCACCTCCTTGCAGCTGAGTCCATCATAGATGCTGTAGGCACTTCTCGTGACACTCCTCTCACTCCTTTATTTGAGGGGTGTTCCCCCTCCCCCCTTGTCCCCTCTATCGCTTCTGCTGCTGCTGTTGACTTCCTTTGTGCTGAGGAGGTCGGGGCTGCATCTGCTTCTAGTAGGAGGCACCGCAGCGGCAGGGGCAAGGGAGGCCAGGGTGGTGGGGGTGGCAGCGGTGGAGGTGGTGGTGGGGGTGGTGGAGGCAGTCGAGGTGGCGGTGGTGGCGGTAGGAGTGGTGGTGGGAGTGGAGGCAATGGTGGCGGCGGTGGTGGCGGCAGTGGGGGTGGCGGCGGCGGCAGTGGTGGCAACAGTGGGAGTGGTGGCGGGAGCAGTGGTGGTGGTCCTGGTAGAGTTGTTCAGAGGGGAGGTTCTAGCGGTGGCCAGAGGCAGTAGCAGTAGCGTCCGAGCGAGACCCCTTCGCCCCAGCAGATTCGTGAGTGGTTTCCTCAACGTGGGGCGTCTGGGGGTGGTATTTGCTGCTTGTATGTCATTCGCACAGGTGTAAGCACAGGTCAGACATGTGGGACGCTTCACACCCAGTATCGCTGCTTCTCCCGTCCTGACGACGCTTTTCGCGCTAAGTTTCCCGATGCGACTTAGCTCCCCCACTGGGCAGAGCTCCTTAGGCAGGGCGTGGATATCTTTTCTCTTGATTATGATGCTATCCTTGCTGCCATGTATGCATTGACTATTAGTGCTGAGGGTAATTGTTACCTGTGTATGCCTCCCGACCCATGTATAGAGGTTGCTGCTCTAGGTGCTAGTGAGTCTGCTCTCTCTGGTAAGGCCTGCTAAGGCCTTGCACACCTTCACGCTTGACTCGGGTGCTCCCCGCTGTTTCTTTCGCAACAGTACCACACTCACACCACTCCCTGCACCGATTGCAGTCAGAGTGGCTGACCCCTCCTGGGGCCCAGTTCTTGCACGTTCCACCACTGTTTTTCCGTGTCCGGCGGTTCTGTCTGGCTCACTGTCAGGTCTTTACGTCCCCTCGTTCTCTACACACTTGGTGAGTACCCTCCAGGATGCGATGGTCACTACCACCATTACAGGGGGTCAGCGAGTGGCGATCTTCACGTGTGCACCTGGCCATGTTCACTCGCCGGCCTGGGTCGAGTCTATACACACTGACTACTGAGCCTCCTCAGGTAGCTGCGTTAGCGTCCGCGTCAGGTCAGCTTGCAGCCCCTTGCTCGTGTCGAGCCCTGTCGCACCAAACTCTCCTTTGGCACCACCGCCTTGGTCACCCTCCCTGCCACGCCTCCGTGGCATCCACACATGTCTCCTTGTCTCTGGTCTTCCAAGGTCTCTGCCTCCCCTCCCACCGTCGCCTGCCCCTCTTTGCCTTCCCTGTGTCGAGGGGCGTCAGCGCGCCGCTCCTCATTCTTGCTCGTTTCCCCCGACGACTGCTCCCCTGCGGACTCTCCACATGGACGTGTGGGGCCATGGACAGGGCCGCGAGCGATACTTTCTGCTGGTTGTTGACAACTACTCGCGTTACACTACGGTCTTCTCCTTGCGCAGCAAGGGGAAGGTCCCTGATCTTTTGATCCCTTAGATCCGTGCTGTCCGTCTCCAGCTCCATGAGCGGTTCTAGACGCACCTCAGCGTCTGCACTCTGACAGAGGTGGTGAGTTCGCCTCCGACCTCTTGCCGGACTTTTGTCGTGGTGTGGGCATTCGCCATTCGTTCACGCTTCTGACCTCTCCGCAGCAGAATGGGGTTGCCGAGCGCCGCATTGGTTTACTCATGGTGGTCGCTCGTACCTCCATGATTCATGCTCTGTGGCCGTCTGCGGTCCGGTACGCTGCGCATCAGCTCAACCTCTGGCCCCATGTCTACTTGCCAGAGACCTCGCCGAAAATGCGTTGGACGGGAGAGATTGGCGATGCGTCGGTGTTCTGGGTCTGGGGTTCTCGTGCCTTTGACCACGATACCTCCGCGGACAACCTCTCCTCCCGTGCCATTCCCTGTGTCGTCCTTGGCTTTCCCCCTAACACGCTTGGCTGGCAGTTTTACCACCCCAACTCGCGCTGTGTCCTTCCCTATCAGGCCGTCACGTTTGATGAGTCGGTTCCCTTCTACCGTCTCTTCCCCTACCGCACTGCCCCTCTCCCTCCCCCGCCGCTTTTCCTCACACCAGGTCCTCCTCTGGTAGACCCCCTCCCCCCTCAGGGTCCTGCTCCCTTAGGTGTGTCCCAGGTAGACCTTGCCGAGCCGTTGAATCTGGTGCTGCAGGGGGTTGTGCTGCTAGGGGTGTTGCATTTGGGGGTGCTGGGCCTGAGCCTGCGGGTGCTAAGCCTGAGCGTGCAGAGCCTGGGGTTGCTGAGCCTGGGGTTGCTAAGTCTTAGGGTGCAAAGCCTGGGGGTGCTAAGCCTGAGCGTGCAGAGCCTGGGGGTGCTGAGCCTGAGCGTCCTGAGCCTGGAGGTACTTTGTCTACTAAAGGTCCTCCGGGTGCCTTGTCGGGCGAGAACCTCTCTCTCCACTGCAGCTGCGCGAGTGGTTTGCTCGGCGCTGGAGCCTTCGGAGTGGCGCTGCTGAAGCCAGGGGGCCTGCCGCTCGAGGTGCAGGAGCTGATGGTCATGGAGGTGCTGGTGGTACTGGAGCCACTGGTCCCGGAGCTGCTGGAGCTGGAGGTGCTGCAGGCGCTGGAGCTGGAGGCGCTGGCGCTAGAGGTAGCGGAGGTACTGGAGCTGCTGGAGCCGGAGGTGCTGCAGGAGCTGGAGCTGGAGCTGCTGGAGGTACTGGAGCCGCTGGTCCCGGAGATACTCGTATTGGAGGTTCTGGAGCTGCTGGAGCTGGTGGTGCTGCAGGCGTTGGAGCTGGAGACCCCCGAAGCTGGAGGCGCTGGTGCTGGGGGTGCTGGTGCTGTTGATGCTGGTTCTGGGGGCACTGTGCGGCCTTGACCGTACTTCGTTCCATAGCTTGAGTAGGTTCTTGGTCTCCCGTCTTCTCCCTTACTGTGTCCACCGCCTGACCAATCGAAGCCACAATTACAGCCAGCTTCCCCACTGCCTGCTCCTTCTCCTTACACTGAGCAGACCGGAGGTCTTCCAGAGCGTCGTGAGCCTGCGTCTCATCCTTCCTCGCTTGTTCGCGTTGTTCGTACTACTCGTCGTGTTTCGCATCAGCGTCCTCCTCCTGTCCCCAACACGCACCATATGGCACTTCGTCGTTCCTCTATTCCGCAGTGTTTCCCTCTGCCGTCTCCTCCTGCGTCCTCTCTTCCTATCGTTCCTGATCCTACGTCCAACCTTGCACATGCTACCATTCCTATTGCCACTCGTCTTCTAGCCACTGTTGTCACTGACACTTCCTTTGAGTTCACTGCTGCATCTGCCCTAGTTGCTGAGCTTGTTAACTTTGCTGCCGCTTGTCGTCTCGACTATGCCGCTAGTCTGGTTACTGAGTCTGAGTCTGTTTGTCCTCCGTCCATCGGGGGTGAGTGTGCTCTTGGCATGGACGTCCTTGAGTATAGGCAAGAGGACTTAGAGTGTTTTGCAGCTGCTGTACCTCATCTCGAGTCCATGCTGATTGCACCTGAGGGAGACCTAGATGCACCAGACATCTCGACCCCGCGCTCCTACCCAGAGGCGATTTCGGGTCCCTACTCTTCTTAGTGGCAGACAGCCATGGACGTAGAGATGGCATCTTGGAAGTCCACAGGCACTAACGTCGATGCAGTCCCCCTCTTGGGGCGAGCATAGTCGATAGAATGTGGATTTTCAGAGTGAAGCGGTCGCCGGGTTCTCCGCCTGTCTTCAAGACTCGTTATGTTGCACGAGGCTTCAATCAGCAATAGGGAGTTGACTTCTTCTAGACCTTCTCCCCTACCCTGAAGATGATCACTCTTTGGGTGCTACTGCACGTTGCCGCTAAGCACGACTACGAGCTTCACTCTCCTGACTTCAGGACAGCTTTCTTGCAGGGCACCCTGCACGAGGAGATCTGGCTGCGCCGCCCACTTGGCTTCACTGGGTCGTTTCCTGCAGGTACCCAGTGGAGCCTCTTGCGGCCAGTCTACGGTCTTCGTCAGGCACCTTGCGAGTGGCCTACACACTGAGGACGACGCTTGCAGCTCTTGGGTTTGCTCCTTCAACTGCGGACCCGTCGCTGTATCTATGTACCGACACTTTGCTGCCGCCGTTCTACATCCGCGTGTACGTTGATGACTTGGTCTTTGCCACTTCTGACACCAAGGGACTGGCCCTAGTCAAGTCGGAGCTGCAGAAGAGACATACATGCACAGACCTGGGTAAGCTACCCAGCTTTCTTGGCTTGCAGATCACCCGGGACAGAGCAGGACGCACCATTACCCTGACTCAGTCACACATGATACAGGAAGCCATTCAGCGCTTCGACTTCCAGTACTCCTCGCCACAGTCCACTCCTCTGCCTACTGGTCACTCGCCCTCAGCTCCACCTTTGTACGAGTCCGTAGAGCTGAGTGGCCCGTATCCAGAGCTTGTGGGCTACCTCATATACCTGATGACCTGCACTCGACCCGAACTTGCCTACCCTCTTAGCATCCTTGCACACTACGTTGCGCCCGGGAGACACCGACCAGAGTACTGGAAGGCCGCTAAGAGGGTGTTGCGCTACTTCTGCAGTACATCAGGCATGGGGCTCGTGCTTGGAGGACAGGGTCCAGTTGTCCTTACTGGACACGCAGACGCTTCTTGGGTTGACGAATTGGCTACGCAGTGGTCATGACAGGGTTACACTTTGAGCCTTGACTCCAACTCCATTTCGTGGGGCAAAGTGGGCACTATCCCCAACAAATTACAGAAGCGCTGATGATCACCAGGCTGAAGTGCCTTGGTGAATATATCAGCGGTGTTGGCTTGAGAGGCCACGTAGCGCAGACGAAGCAGACCACGCTGCTGTAGCTCACGAGCAAGGAAGTAACAGTGAGCGATGTGCTTCGTTCTGTGCTCCAGTCTGTGCTCCTCTCACAAGGCAATGGCAGCCTTGTTGTCGACGTAACGCACTTGAGGAGAACTAGGCCGCTCTCCAAGGTCGGTCGGCAGGTAGGTGAGCCAGCATAACTCCTGTGCACCCATGGCTGTGGCGTAGATCTCAGCCTCACAACTGGAGCTCAGAACTGAAGACGAACGAGTAGAGCGCCACGAAACTGAACCAGAACCAAGGCTGAAGGTGTAACCCTGTGATGACCGCTGAGTAGCCTGGTCGTCAACCCAAGAAGCGTCAGAGTGCCCAGTGAGAACAACTGAGCTCCCTCCTCCAAGCACGAGCCCCATGCCTGATGTACTACACAAGTAGCGCAATAACCTCTTTGCAGCATCCCACTGCACCTTTCGGTGACGACCAGGAGCCACGTAGCGAGCCAGAAGGCCAAGAGGGTATGCTAGGTCAGGACGAGTGCAAGTCATCAGATACATGAGGCAACCAACTAACTCTGGGTAAGGACCACTCGACTCTACGGACTCATCCAAAGGCAGAGCTGAGAGCGAGTGACCTATAGCCAGAGGAGTGGCCTGTGCTGAGGACCAGGTGAAGCCAAAGCGCTGAAGGACCTGCTGCACCATGTGTGACTGAGTCAGGGTAATGGTGCGGCGTGCTCTGTCCCGAGTGATCTGCAAGCCAAGGTAGCTGCGCAGTTCACCCAAGTCTGTGTACGTGTGTCTCTTCTGTAGCTCGGACTTCACGTGGGCGAGAGACTCAGTGTCAGCTGTGGCAAAGACCAAGTCGTCGACGTACACGAGGATGTAGAACGGCGGCAGTGAAGTGTCCGTGCGTAGAAACGGCGACGGTTCAGCAGTAGAAGGAGAGAACCCAAGTGCCGCAAGAGTAGTCCTCAGTGTGTCGTGCCACTCACGTGGCGCCTGGCGGAGACCGTAGACCGGCCGCCGTAGGCTCCACTGGGTACGAGGAGGGAACGACCCAGTGAAGCCAGGAGGGCGGCGCAACCAGATCTCCTCGTGCAGAGTGCCCTGCAAGAACGCTGTGCTGAAGTCAAGGGAGTGAAGCTCGTAGTCACGCCGAGCAGCAACGTGCAGTAGTACCCAAAGAGTAGTCATCTTCGGGGTGGGGGAGAAGGTCTGAAAGAAGTCTACTCCCTCTCGCTGACTGAAGCCTGTAGCAATGTAACGAGCCTTGAAGACAGGCGGAGAACCCGGCGGCCGCTTCAGCCTGAAAATCCACATGCCACTGACGATGTTCGCCCCAGGTGGGGGAACCTCGTCGACGTAGGTGCATTTGGACTTCTAGGAAGCCATCTATGTGTCCATGGCTGACTACCACTGAGAGGAGTAGGGACCCTCGATCGCCTCAGCGTACGATCGAGGAGTCGGGATGTCTGGTGCATCCGGGTCTCCCTTAGGGGCAACTAGCATGGACACGAGATGGGGCGCAGCGGCTGCCAGATACTCAAGGTCCTCCTGTCTGTCCTCAAGGACGTCCGTGCTAAGAGCACATGCACCCCCGACAGACGAAGGACAGACAGACTCAGACTCAGCAACAAGACTGGCAGCCTAGTCTAGACGACAGCGAGCAGCCAAGTCGACAAGCTCAGCAACTAGAGCAGACTCAAACGAAGGGTCAGTGACAGCAGTGGCCAGGAGGCGCGTAACCGTAGGACTAGCAGCACGAAGAGAGTCAGACTCCGCGTCAGCAAGGGCAGTAAGAGAGGACTCAGGAGGAGACGGAAGAGGGACACGCTGTGGAGCAGTGGAGGGACGCATGACATCCGGTGTGTGCCAGGGACTGGTGGCGGACGCTCACGCGCAGAACGGCGACTAGTGGAAGTAGCACGAACAGGTGAGTCAGGACGGGACACAGGCGACACAGGACGAGACTCAGGCTGACGACGCTCTGTGAGACCGCCTGTGGGACCAGTGTAGGGAGAAGGACAAGGAAGTGGCGAGGCAGGCGGTAGCTGTGACTACGACTGTACCGGAAGTGGACACTCTACAGAGGGAGGGGGACCAGGCGGAGGCGACTGACCAAGAACCTGCTGAAGGAGTGGAACGAAGTACGGCCGTGGCCGTGAGGTGCCCCCTGTAGCAGCAGAGACAGCACCAGAACCTCCAGTAGCTCCAGCAGCATCCCCAGCAGAAGCTCCAACGCCCGAGTCCGCAGCACTAGCAGCAGCTCCAACGCCCGAGTCCGCAGCACCAGCAGCAGCTCCAACACCCGGGTCCGCAGCACCAGCAGCAGCTCCAACGCCCGGGTCTGCAGCACCAGCAGCAGATCCAACGCCTGGGTCCGCAGCACCAGCAGCAGCTCCAACGCCCGGGTCTGCAGCACCAGCAGCAGCTCCAACGCCCGGGTCCGCAGCACCAGCAGTAGCTCCAACGCCCGGGTCCGCAGCACCAGCAGCAGCTCCAAC